TTTTTTTTTTTTTTTTTTTTTTTTTTTTTTTTTTTTTTTTTTTTTTTTTTTTTTTTTTTTTTTTTTTTTTTTCTCCCTTAATGGTCTCGCTTCTGTGAATAACTGGCAGTGTTGCATTTTTTTCAGGATGCAGCAGATTTTCTAGCTTACAGATTTCAAGACAAAATGCCTTCCTTCTGGAATGAAGGTGCCATATGTCTTGAAATGCATAATTGATCACTGCTCAAAATAGAAGCTTCATAGAAAGTCACCTAGAAGTCCAATGCATGTGTGCAGGAGACTTAATAGACCTTGATGCATTTTTTGTTTCCTGAGAGTGATGATGATATAGGGAGAGGTTTTTATGGCTCCTCTTAGAGGTTCTGATGCTTGTGCTTTCTCATTATTCCAGGAGATCTTGGGAGTTGCATTAGCAGGTGCATCAATCATGCTTGCTGATCCCTGCTGGGCTTGGCTGGATGAAAAACACCCCAGACAAGCCTGGCATTCACCATATAGCCCAACAAGGGCCACAGCTGTATCTGTGAGTGTAAAACAGTTCAGTTGATCAAATCTGGTGAGTTGAATCCTGCCCTTGGTGCCCCTATTTCCCCACCTCTGGTGGGATGCCTGCACAAGCATTCTTCCCCAGCTCCCACACAGAGTGAGGTAGATTCCTACTGACGTGGGAGGGATGTTGGGGTTCATCTGGCTGTGTGCCCTGCTTCCTGGTAATAAACAACACTGTAGACCACCCAGTATTATGGATGCTTTTTTGTTCTGGTCCTTATGAATTATGGCAAATTCTTGATAAGAGCAATGCTGAGAAGTCGCTTTGGAAAAAAGGGAGCAGAGCAGGAAAGAAATCAAGGAGACTACCCAGAATGATCCAGGCTTTTCAATTCACCTTGATAGGTTTAAAAAGCAGGCAGTGGAGGTGCTTCTGCAGCCCCTTTGGGCAACTAAGTCCTTTGTCTATTTTAGTAACCTTCAAGGAGTTGACAGCTCTGATTTCTGGAGGATTTCTAGTTTTCTCACTGCTAGCAAGCCCTGCTCAGCAAGAACCTCCTCACACACCCAGTTCTGCTCCTGCTTGCAGAGCTGCTAATCAAGGATAGCACATGGGAAGGCAGCCACATGGGAGGGGGTGCTCTGCGAGGGAGTCAGACCCCGTTTTGTTTGCTCAATTTACATTTCTCTGTTATTAAACCATGTTCTGGGCTTCAGCAGGGTTTGTAAGCACTGCATCTCTACTTAGTGGACAAGGTAGGAGAATTATAGCACTACAGAATCTGGGACACCAGGATAGCCCTGAGGATTTGATGTGATGCTGTGTACTGCAGCCATCTGCTGCCAATCTACTAAGGGCCTCTCCCCTCTGGGTTGCACCAGCAGCCCCAGGTAGCATGGATGGATGGATGGTCATAAGCATTTCATCACACTGGGAAAGCCAGTTTTGGGGCAGGCAGACTCAAAGGGGGAAAAAAAATCCTGCTGCCACTCAGGATCGCAGAGAAGCTGTGGATCAGATCAGTGCTGAGAAAATTGCTGGTAAGTCAGGATGCTGAACCAGGCAGGAGCAAAGCCCCCCACTGATAAATGAGCCTTCACAGCCCCATGAACAAGCACCAAGCAGGAAGTCCCAGGGGTGTAATGAGGCTGGCTGCTTGCAACTCTGGGGTTGCCTCCCTTGGCTTTTGCTCTTTACTGTGGAGGTGGGAGTTATGCCATGCTGTAAACCCCTGGATTTAGCAGGTTGTCTTTAACCCCTTGTCCTCACCACCCGTCGCTGTGGCCCAGCCCATACAGAGCACACACTCCAGGCTGTGCCTGTTGTTTGGCACATCTCTGTGAGTGCTCAGAGCGGTTGCTAAGACAGCATAAGTCTGTCCCCTTTCTCCATGCCTTCAGGTGTCTGTCTGATCCAGAGGTATAGGTGTACTGTGTCCACGTAGCCCAATCCCAGAGCAGTATCCATGTGGGAGAGCAGAGGCAATGCCACGGGTCAGGAGTTAACAGTCTGTGTGCACAGACATCAGTGTGAGCGGTACAGGGGAGTGGAGTGTGGGCTACAGCTTAGTTCTCCCCCTTCCCAAACTGTGATGCAGAGTCTGGTGGGAAAGAGGGACTGTCCACTGCGACCTTCAAGGAGGCAGCATGGAGGTGAACATCTCTGACAGGAGATGCATCCTGACCTCTGTGTGAGGGATGCTCAGCATGTGCAAGGGCAGCACAGAGATGTTACAGGAACCAGGTCACTGCAGGGCTCTGGTGACAGGAGGTGTGTGAGTTCTGGTCAAAGGGACAGAGACACTGCGTTCACTGGCTGGTGAAAAAGAACCAGGTAGGTGAAAAATGAGAGCGTGTCTGGAACATCTACCTCCATCCTTCCAGCATGCATGGCAGGAGACTTGCAGGTGTGGTGGTGCCAGCCAGAAGGACTCATTTGAACACAGAGATGTCTGGATTGATGGCTTTATTTCAGCTTATTTTAGCAAGTAATAGGCAAGGGGGGTGATGTTTATCACTGAAACTGGAGCTGGCTGTACTTTAGATCACAGCTCTAATCGGTTAGACTGACTTGGACAGTAAATCACTTGAGCAGTACTAATAACACAGAGTGACAGGTGTACTAACCCTCTATTGCAGCAATAACCTGGTCCTGCTGGTTCTTTCACTCAGGTTAGTGCTTCTGCTCTGGTTTGTTTATTAAAGCTCCTTCACAAAAGTCACCTGGGTGGCTGCTCTGACTCAGCCATTGAAATGGCTGTTCTCCTGCCATTCCCCAACCTGGCTTCGGCTCTTTTTATAGCCTGCTATAAAATTGTTTATTTTTGCACCTGTTTAGAAAGGCTTTTTGGCCACAGGGGTCTCATGATGTTGTTTTCATGGCTTCTGGAGCAGGGCTGCTCTGTTGTTGCTAGAAATAATTGCTGTTAATTAATTCTTTGCTGATTTTTCTTTGGCAAAGCATACTGAAATAAACAGAGAAGTGAGCAGCATGCTCTGTATCTCGATGTTGTGGGAGCTTTTAGGAGGCATGCAGTGACATCCAAACAATCCCATCAGCAGCCAGAGGAAGGGTAGGATGCAGTCCTCAAGTTTCTGTGGACAAAGTTAATTGGGGGGAGGCTGAATTACCATCTCCAGCTGTTTGGCAGCTTCCTTCAGGCCACCATTTTTAATCTCTTTCTAGAGAAAAACCACAGCCTTGTTTCCATCTAATGCTTTATTCAAATCACAGTTGAGCAATGTTACAGAAAATGATGTGGTCTCAGCTCTCTGAGCTGGACCAGCAGCTGAAGGCAGCAGTCTGTGATACGAGACTGACTGCTGGGGCCAATAATTGCACCATTTTATCTTCTGTGCCCTTTTTTAAAATGGTTTGTTCTTTTTTTTTTCTGAGGGACTTTCAGACCAGAAGTGAAGTGCTGGGCTTCAGCCCCTCTGACCTGTGGCCATGCCTGTATCATCTCCATCATTCCCTTGGCACTGGGCTCCTGGCAGGATCAGCCACTGCTTCCCGGGAACCCAGAGCTGGCAGCAGCTGGCTGGGCCACTTCTGTCCCCACCCTGGAATGGGACATCATGCAGCCCAGTCTCTTGCTTGAATGTCTCCAAGCTGTTCCTGGAAGGATGAGCCATTTGAGCCAGGAAGAGATTAAATTATTGGAATTGAGCAAAAGCAATTTCCATGGTAAGTGCTTGCCCTGCGGTTGGCACATCGAACCTGTCCTGCCGTGCCTCTGACTCAGCCTGAGCTGATGACGTCCTGCTCTGTATAATCACTTTGGCTTTTCTTGGAGGAACTGATACACCCTGACATATGAGTGTCTTCACACATATGTTGGCTTTCTCCATACTGAGATTCCACAGGCTTAAGTCTTTTAATTAGAATAAATGGGGAATAATGCTTAAAGCGGTGGTCTACCAGTGATGTAGTTGAATTATTGACTTCATTGGCCTAATTTCATCTTCTCTGAGAGCAGAGAAGAGCCTGTCATTAGGCCATAGAAATCTGCACAGCTCCAGACTCAGGTGCCTCAGAGCTTCCATGGAGACAATTCCCTCAGCTACCCCTTCCATGTCAAATTTTACACCATATGAAATGGGTTTGGTACAACAGCAACATGACTGTTACAGAGCTGTTTTTCCTGTGTTGAGATTTCCCTGTGTGCCGTGCAGCAGACATGCAAATATCCAACATCTTCAAGCTATCCGTTGCCCCCTTACTCTCTCTCTTAGAGGTCTCTTGGCTCCCAACCACACTGTCTGAACAATTAAGCAGCCCCTGCAAGCACAAACCAACTCCTAAATCAGCCCATTGCTGCAGTGAGCTGGCCAGAGACAGGCGGAATGAAAACTGAAAGGATATCCTGAGCACGTGACAGACGGGCTGATGGTCAGACAACTTTCCTTTTTGTTGGCAGTGTGGCAGTGAGAGATCAGTGATCAGCTCTAGGGTGTTGTAGAAACCTAAAAAAAAAAAAAAAAAAAAAAAAGGTGTTTAAGGAAATCAGCAGAGATTTTGCCCTGAATCCCCTTCTTGTCCTCATTCTCCCCGTTTCTGCTGCCTTGCAGAGGATCTCTGTGCATGGCCTTACAGAGGATCTGTGTGTGCATGATGTTACCTGCATGACTGTTCAATCACTGGAGCAAAGGACTCCCCCTCTTTCATGGTGGTAACACTGGGCTGCAGCAGAGTTAACCACTATGCAAATGGAATGAAGCCCTGACCTGCAAATCACTCTGCAGTGAGGCACTTTTAGAGCTGCACAACACCGTCTTCTTTGAGGGCTGGTGCAGGTGCAGAGCAGCTCTGCAGACACAGGACTTCACTGTTATTTCTGCACCTTCACAACACTTTCTCTTCAACCTGACCAACGCATCCTAACCATGCAGATGCAGTGAGTGTGCTTTTCCCTGTTCCACAGAAGAACAATCCCACAGGATCCATACAGCAATTTGCTCAAAAGCAGAGAAAGTTGGCATCAGTATTGGGTTTTCAGTTCAAGAGTTTTTAATTCCCCTGATCTGAGCTCTCTGCTCTGTGGCATTCCTCCCTCTCAGCTGTAGCCACTCTTGATTTAACTGGATAACCCAGAAAACATGATACATATTTTTTTAAGAAAAACCTCTAGGATTTAAGTTTCTTCCTTTTTTTTTTTTTCCCCCTTCTTCTTCTTTTTTTTTTTTGTTTTGAACAGGAAACCAAAACTGCAACGGAAATGAGCTGCTGTAGCATAGGTGCAGCTGGCCAGTGCTGTAGCTTGTTCACACAAACCTCCAGCTGCAAAAGCTGCCTCCCCCATGGTGCTGAGGAAGCCTAAAGGATCCAGCCTGGTGTATCTGCTACTCCAGAGTTTTGCTTGAATGCAGTTGCAGTGGCATGAATTATTGATATCTCTGTTCAGGTTTGCTGTTCATGCAGGAATCTGTAATGCTTCCCCACCTTACGCTGTGAACGCGCTCCCGGGTCACATAAAGGGTTCTGTTTAACAGCCTTTCACTTGCATGGTTGTGACATTGATTTAGCTATTTCAGGGCTGGGGCTGCAAAATTAACTAAAAACCAGTGTAAACAGCTCTTTCCTGACAAAACAAGGCAGTCTCGGGGTAAAAGGAGCTAATATGGAAGGGCAAGGAGAAGGAATAGTTATGTCTGTCCATTTTCAGGGTGTCACCACAAACATGATGGAAAGGTCTCCTGGAATTTCTGAGCATTCTTTGCCCTGACCTCAGTATCTGGCATTTCCAGAGGCTGCCCTTGCTGCCACTGTGCTTACCACCTCAAGAGATCGCATTAATAACGTCCGTTTCTAAGGCAACAACCTTGTGATTTAGAAAAGACGGAGTTAAAAGTGTGTGTGTTTACAAACAAACACATCTTACACATAAATATGTAAGTATTTACATACATATGTATATAAATTTATATCAGACCTCTAAGCCACTTAGCAGTGGAGAGACAGAAAGCATCTGAATGATGGTGATGTGCTGACAGTGACAGCATGTCTCCAGAGAGTTTGGCCAGAGACTTTGCAAGAAGTAGGAGCAAATTCATTTAGCACTCTCAGACAGGCTGTACCCACAGGCAAAGTGTGGGGCAAAGCTCAGGGGAGGTGTTGACTTCTGTGGGTACAGGCAGGAGGGAACAGTCTGACATAGACAAGGTGATGCTCAGCAGCTCCCAGGAGCCTCCGCCAACCCTGACGGGGCAAACTTCACCCTTTGCCCCTTGTAAGGCTATAAACTCTGATGCTGTCCCTGCTTTACACCAGGAATCATAATCCTTAGGAGCCAGTATCCATCAGGAGAGCCTCACTGCCTGCCCTGGATCAACATTGTGCCAATCAATACTGGGACAATACCCAGCCTCTTAACCTTGGATAAACCAGGAGTAAATTTACAGAGGTACTCTTGTATATGTGAGATTGGTTGAAGCCTTTGATTTTCCACTGAAGAAAAGTTTATCTGCAATTCTGGCTCATTAAGTTCCAACTTTTCTCCCTGTCTCTCCATGTTCCCTCCACCCATGTGGGTTGTTTGTTTCCCCGTGTGAAGTCTGGAGTAATTCTGATGAGACTTAAATGCTGAGGATGCTGACTGACCCTTGCTGGCCCTGCTCTCTGGCCCTGCCTGTCCTTTATGAAATGCTCCCCTTTCATCATTGACAACAGGCTCTGTTTTATTTGATTTTATTGCAAGATATAAATTTCTGTCTGCAGCCCTGGCTTCCAGCACGTGGAGGAGAGAGAGGGATTGCCTAGCAACCAGGAGAACAAAAAATTAAGAGAATCAATAAGTCTTAATGGAAAGCTAAACAGAGACTTTCAAACCAAACCCCCTCCCTTCTCCCAGCCCCGGCCCGTGGTAAGTTCATGATGATGTGCAGCATCCTGGCTATCACACAAAGCCTTCAGCAAGTGCCTCTTCTGGAAAAACCAGAGTGCAAATGAAAACCTGACCTAACTTGGGCTTAGGGAAAGCTCTGATCCTGTAAGCATTTACACTTCAAGCTCGAGCATATCACAGGTGTGGAGGATTAGGGCTAAGATAATGTGTTGAGCTGGTTTCTCTCAGAGGATGTTAGCAGTCAGTGCTCTGCTCCAGGTAAGTATTAGTGACTTGGAGGCTGAAGAAGGTGAGGGTCTGGATGCTCAGCTTACCCACAAAAGGCCTGTGTGTGGAATTGTGCCTTTGATTAGCACATTTTAGATGTTATCAGCCTATGTGCGTAAAACCAGCAAGCCCAGCACAATGCTGGACGCTGGGCAGAGCCAGCAAGAGTCCAACATCAGCTTAAAGCAGTCAGAAATCAACCTGGTTACAGTCGCTTGCCTGGCAGCACAAATGCAAAGGTCATTTAGAAGAATGTATTCCAGGCAAGTGGGGCAATTATAAATATACCAGGCCATGATTCTGTTCGTATTTAAGTGTTACTCTATTTTCTCCCCCAAAGTGTCCTCTGGAACCTGCTCACATCTGTGTAGGTCTGCAGGATCAAGACGGTGATTTAGTTCTGGAAGCCTTCCTGGAGCTTCTGGCAAGGCCCCTCCTGCAGGTGCTCGTGCACACCCTGAACCTCGTGGGCAGCATGAACCACATGAGCTGAGCTTGCAGGAGGGCTCTGCTTTGCTGGAAGGAGCAGAGAGTGATGACTTGAACGGGGAACTTGCTTTGCAGAACTAAAATTAAGCAGAGATGTATGAACCACAAACAGGACATATCAGCATTGCAGGTGACCCATACCTGAGAGGAAGGTTTCAGCAGGAGTCTGGGCAGCAGCCTCGAGGCACAGCTCTGAACCCCTCCTTGGCCAGAGGCTTCCCACATCACCATCCAGGGTCACTCCCTAGTCCTTATTAGCTGCTAAAACAAGGACAGGAGCCTTGCCTGTAGGTGACATGACATGCATGAGGGGCTGCAGCCCTTGGTCCCAGCAACACAGACATGCTGACACAGGGAAGCTCTGGTTCTTCCCCAGGGACGTTTTCTCTCCTGATAGATACTCCCTTGACACCACGGAGGCTGTGAAAAGTGTGGGAAGATGCTTGGAGGATGGTCCTGACAAGACATAGACATGAAAGGACAGCAGTGAAGGAGGAGCATTTTGGAGCGCATGTGGCTACTAGTGAAACATTCACAACTACCCCCAAAAGACGCTGATGTTGAAAAACGCTCCCCAAAAGTGCTGCCTGTGAACCTGCCAAGGTGCTTGAGTGGCGAGGCCCCAGCCAATGAGGGTTGGGGGATGCTGAGACCCCCGGCCCCCACCTCCCCATTCCCCCCCCGGCTCCCACCCCATGAGCGAGAGCATCCTGCCCCGTCACCCCGAGTGGGAAGGGACAAGAGGGAAGGGACCCCTGAGTGCTGGGGACACCTGGAGGGATGGGACGCCCTGAAGCTCGGGGACCCCCCCGGGGGGATGACGGGGCGCCCGGGCCACGAGCAGCCGCTGGAGGTCGCGGGCGAGCGGCGCGGGGGAGCCACCAGCCCCCCGGGGCCCGGCGAGAAGGCGGAACCGGCGGCGTGCCCGGCCGGGCGGCCCCGGCAGCGGCGGGGCCAGAGGCTCCCAGGGCAGAGAGGCAGCACCGCCCCAGCAGCGGCGCGTCCCGGCGGCCGGAGAGGCGCGTTCAGCGTGCGGGGCCGAATGGAGCCGCCCGGGCGCCGCCCGCCTCGCCAGCGCCCCCCGCCCGCACCATGAGGCTGCGGTAGCGCGGCGGAGCGAGCGGAGCCCCGCGGAGCCGCCCGCCGCCCCCATGGCGAAGGAGAGGAGCAGGAAGGCGCTGGTGGAGCTGCTCCAGCGGCCGGGGAACGCGGCGTGCGCTGACTGCGCCGCCCCGGGTAAGGGCAGGGCAGGGCGAGGGGAGGAGAGGCGGGGGGCGCGGGCGGCGGCCGCACCTGCACCTGTCCGCCCCGCACCGCATGGCACAGCCCCGCACGGCACGGCACGGCACGGCACAGCCCCGCACGGCACCGCACCGCGCGGAGGCAGCGACGGCGCGGGGGGCTCTGCCCTCTGCGGGAGCGGAGAGCTTTGCGCCCCGCCGAGGGGGTGCCCGACCCCCCTTCCCCGCCCCGCGGGGATGCAGCGGGGACGCTCCGCGGCCGGTGCGGGGATGCGCTGCGCTGCCGCGGTCCCCGAGGGCCGGCCCCGGCCGAGGTTTCCCCGGTCCCCCCCCCGGCCCGGCCCGGCTCCTCGCCCGGCTGTGAGCGCTGATGTCATCCCGGCGGGTCCCCGCGGGCTGCAGCGCGGCCGGGGCCGGTAGCCGGGCGGCGGGGGCTCTGCCGGGGGTGCCCTGTGCTGCGGGGGTGGCGTGTCCTCCGTGTCCCCTCGGCTGCTGCTGCCCTGTCGGCGAGCAAACAGAGCGGACAACCAGAGGCATCGCCGCGGCCACCCTGCCGACCAACCTTTGCCCGGCTGCCATCGATGGGTGCCTAAGCTATGCAGGGAGCGGGGCTGGAATGTCCGTAGTCGTCTTCGTGCGCAGACGGGAGAAAATCTGGGCTCGGAACGTCTTTCTAGCCCTTTGGATGGTGAATTGTGGGGGTCGGGGTGTGATGCTCTTGCTGAGCAGGGTCTACATGAGGCGGTGGGACCCGCCTTTGAGAACAGCCTTAGAAAAATTGCAGAACAAGTAGCTTTCCTTTTAATAAAAAAAAAAAAATCACCATATAGAAACACCTAAATTTCTATTAGCTTGAGCAGGAAGGCTCTGAAGAGGTGTATAGGAAGGATGTCCTTCCCAGCCTATGTCATTCTATAGGTTAAAGAAAACCCAACACTTCAGCTGAATCTTATTTTCCCAGATATTGATTTGCTTGGGATTTCAAAATCTGTTGGATACCACTATCCAGCTCATACCATTACCAGTGGTTTTGTATCCCTAACCTGCATCTCAGGACACTGCAGTTCACTTTCAGACGTGTTGTGTCCCCCAGTACCCAGCTGGAAAGGACAAAGAACTTTCAGCACGGCGTGAACAGCTTTGCAGCGCCGCGTTGCTCTGCCTGCTCCCACCCATCTGCTGCCTGGTGCTGCTGTCTGACTGTACCAGCCCACCTTTGAGGTGCCTTGCTGAGCACAGCTTGGCAGCTTGGGCTCACCGGGAGTAGGTGTCTGCCTAAATTATTCCTTCCTGGAGAAAACTTTACAAACCTGGGTCTTTACAAACCATTCAGGTCTGTGGGATGATTCTCCCTCGCCCTCTGCAAAATGGGAAGTTTCTCAGCACTATCAGGGTGGAGATGAGGCTGTAGGACAGTAAAATAGCTCACGTCAGGGAAAGAGGGTTGTTGGTGAAGGCTCCAAAAGGACTTGTAAAACAACAAAACCATATTTTGTTTTTGGTGACGTTTGCATACAGAGATGTCTTAGTGAATCTGAAACTCAGAGAGGAGAATTTGGGCCAGTGGCTTTTGTAACACAAGATGTGCTATATTAATACCATTCAGCTTCTTCTAACTCTCGTAGCATTGCTTCCCTGGGACCAGCTCCTTGT